TGAGGACACACCTGCAGGTCTGAGGACACAGCTGCAGGTCTGAGGACACAGCTGCAGGTCTGAGGACACACCTGCAGGTCTGAGGACATACCTGCAGGTCTGAGGACACAGCTGCAGGTCTGAGGACACACCTGCAGGTCTGAGGACATACCTGCAGGTCTGAGGCAACAGCTGCAGGTGTGAGGACACAGCTGCAGGTCTGAGGACACAGCTGACACACAGATTAGGACTCAGCTGATCTGTGATCAGAGTGCACAGATTAATAAATTAATTTAATCAGATTAAAGGTTGAGTTTCAGTCAGTATTTCTTCTTTGATCAAATGTTTCTAACTCTGACAAACGTCTGATCAGACGAAGTCGAGGACAGATTGTTGGATTAGGAAGATAATCTGAGGATTATAGACCAGAAGTGAACGTGATGAAAGTGGACAGGAAGTGACATTTTACATTTCCTGTGTCGCTCCTTGGACAAACGTCAACAACTCATCCCGTTTTACAATCAGCACTGGTCAAGATGGCCGCCACAGCTACTGGACCTCAGCAGAGACAAAGATGCTGCAGCTCAGTCCGTTTCACACACGACAGTTTGAGCTGAGAGGAGTTCCCAACACGGAGCCTGCGCGCTGAAACGTGTCATCACACGACACTGTCAGCTCCGAACCAGAACCAGAACCAGAACCAGAACCAGCAGAACTCAACATGAGCTCAGGTTGACGCTGCGCTGTGAGCGGGCGACAAGCATTCATACAAGAAACAATCACAACAACAACCAAACACATGATCGCACAACAACAACAACAACAACCAAACACATGATCGCACAACAACAACAACCAAACAGCCATATTTAAAAAGCACTAACGTTATTTGTAAACTCTAAACGATTAAAGTTTATTGACACACTGAAACTACAGACCGCTCCAATTCGTTACAAAAACAAAATAAACAATTATTGGAAAACGTTCAAAACTTGTTTAAGACTAAAAGGAGCAAAGTTATAAGTTAAATCAAAGTTTATTTATTTGTCATTCCACCCCATGTGGTACATGAGGTGGAATAAAATTATGAACACAGGGTCCCAGTTACATCCAACAAAAATATAAAATAAAAACAGTGATAAGATCCAAACTAAGAAAAACATCAACTAAATAAACTCTAACATCATAAAACGTTATGTTGAACAGCAGCACGAACATGAGTCTGTGTGAGCAGAGGAGCACGCATGAACACAGCAACATGAAACTGATCAGCAGCAACATGAAACTGATCAGCAGCAACATGAAACTGATCAGCAGCAACATGAAACTGATCAACAGCAACATGAAACTGATCAGCAGAATGGATAATCAGCAGCATGAGAACAGCAGCATAGATAATCAGCAGCAAATATCAACAATCAAGTGACATGACAGTGACTATTTCACAGTGATAATCCTGATTAGGGATTAAGGAGGAATCACAGTTTAAAATATGCTAATTCACAACTACTAGAACAACTTTGTGTCTCAGTAAATGAAGTCAAACTGTGGAATAATTTAAATATTAAACTTAAACAATGTCCAAACAGAAAACTGTTCAAATTATCATATAAACTGATGATTATTGTGAATATAATTTATATTATTAATTTATTGTTGATGCTTTTGTTAATGATGATAGTTGTTTTTTGGTGAAGTTAAAGAAATAATAATTGTTTGTCTATTGTAGTTAAATTAAATAATACTATACTGATGGTTAAATTTTAAATATGGGTTTAGTTGTTCTATGTACAGATTATACAGATTATACAGATTATACATGTAATCATGTCAGATTATGTACAAAGAGTGGGAATTTTGATCAATTTCTACTTCTGCAACTCCCTGGAATATGTAAAAGTAAAGTTTCCACATTACGCTTCATGTTGAAGGTTTGTTTTTATTTATTGAAAAATAAAACTAGACAAAAACTGATGGTTGTACAACAACAACAACAACAAACAACCACACAACAACAACAACAGACAACCACACAACAACAACAACAATCTGCTCATCACACAACAACAACAACAATCTGCT